GTGGATTACTTAATTTAAACCCACAGAATAATTCAGAGGAACCAATGTTGTCATAGTCTAAATAAGAATCAACGACAACTAAATCCTTATCACTGCTAGCAAAATATTTGCAAATTTGGCAACTGTTCTTGTTTATATCACTGATTTTTGCATTTTTTTTTTCAAATTTAAATTTTTTTAGCAATCTTACATTTTTGGCACGAGCAGATGCAAATTTACGGTGTGCTGTTTTTAATTTTTTTTTTTTTAAAAGTTGGAACTGCTCCTCCTGTTTTAGCCTAATACTCATAGTCTCTAATTGAGAACTTAATGAGTTACAATGTGCGTTGAGAGCCTTGTTTTTAGAATTTAAATATATAACTTCAGTTTCCAACTTTGATACCTGTATTTTTAAATTATCTATTTGCTCCACATTATTTTTTTCTTTAGAAATTAATTGTTCAACTTGACTACTTAGTTCTTTATTCCTATTTAAAATATAAAAATTATCTGCATCTGCTGATTTTTTTTGTTTTTTTGTTTGTGGAGCTGGAGACAGTTGCATTTTAAAAAATGCTTTGTTTTTTGAAGCTTCAAAATACTTTTTAGAATCTTTTTTTCTTTGTTTTATTTTTCGGCACATTTTATTTAACACATCAATATTAGGCATATTAAACTCAATTGGCAAAAGAAAACTTAAAAAAGTAAACAACGCTTTTGGATGAAAAACTGTTAATAAAATTGAAATCACATTGTTAGTAATCTTACTAGTGTCAATTACTCGCTTTACAAAATTAAAGTTATACTCATTTTCCCAACCATCTTCCCAACCGATGTACAGTTTCAAAATTTCCCTCTCAGTTGCATACATCACATAAATAATGATAATGATATTATAATAATAATATAATAAAAGAAATTAAATAAAATAATATTTACAAATAAATACACTAAAAATAAAAGAATTAAGCAACTTATCTGAGATTAGTCGAATATCCACGAGGAAATAATCCACGAAACTTTGCTTTATAATCTTTATTGATATAGTAATAAAATTATAATACAAACAACTTAAATAGAATAATATTGACAAATAGATGCACTAGATAAAATCGGATTAATCAACTTATCTGAAATTAGTCAAATATCCAAGAGAAATTAATCCGCGAAACTTTGTTATTTATTCTATAAAATGTGTCTCGTTTGTTTTGTTTGTTTTCTTAAAATGCATCCGATAATCGTTGGGGACGTAACGATCAGAGTTTGCGTCACCGCTTTAAAATGTAAACAAGAATTTATGCAAAAAAAACTAAAAAAAATGTCGCTAAACATGCCAAGTTTGAAAACATATTTGATAACATAGCTAGAGGTACAGAAAATAATTTTTTGATTTTCTTATTCATATAAGGTTGAAGTATTACTAAATCCACAGACTTTTCAAAAATGTTATGTTTTTTATTCAAAACGAATAAAAACAAAAATATAAATGCATTAAAAACTAACTTTCTATATAAAAACTTGCAAAGTCTGTGGAAATCTAGATAGAACAGACATTCATTAATAACTGTTCTAAATTTCAACCATCGACCATGTAGCTATGTTATCAAATCTTAGTTGGCCTAAGACAGGTTTTGCGTAAAAATCGCAAAAATCAGAAAAGTGATGCCAAATTATTAACAATATTTTTACAGCTTTCATTTTTATTCCTTTTAATGTAAATGTTTATTTAACAAGGAAAGATAGATCTTTTATATTTTTTTTATTTGAAGATGAAAGCATTTATAGAAAAAAAATACTGTTATTTTAAACTTAATGAATTTTTATACTTTTTATGCGGAAATACTTTTTTTTTTGATAAACTCGTGACGTCAGGCTCGCATTTATATTGAGTGAAACAGCCGTGTTATTCATTTGGGCGTAAACCCAAGGCTTAAAACAATAGTTTAAGAGCGATTTTAGAAAATAAGGTATAAACATTTTCTAATTTATTTAAAATGCATCAATTTTACCTTAAGGTGGTACTACCCTATTAAAAACATCAAAAAACAAAATTTTTTTTTTCAAATTTTAACAGTTTGAACATCCTGAATTACGAGTATAATTTTTTTTTTCCTTTAAAAATTAATATAAAGTACTTAAATTAGTATTTAAAGGCAACAAGGTATTTTCGAATCCCTAGCAACGGCCTCAGCAACCATGTCTGTTTATATGTTTGCTCTATTTTCACAACTTTCTTGTTAGTTTAGTAAAAAGGTTATTTTGACACAGAACAAAATATTAAAGGTGGTTAATCATATTTTTGTGGTCAGTTTGGATATTTTTTTATTAGAGATTTTTTTAGTTTATGACATTTTTTATTTTAAAAGCTGTTTTTCTCAGAATAATATTTCTTAAATATTTTTAAACTAGAACATTAATATCTCAGAAACTATTTACTCTTTTTCTTTGAAATTTTCACAGCTTGTTCATTGATGTTGTAGAAAAGGCTGGTATTAAAATAATCAAAAAATACTTATTATTTCGACCAGAATTTAAAATTTTACATACCCCACGAACCATTTTTTTTGATTTTTACAGGGTAATATCTGCCATTTAACTTTTGCTCTGTAGTTTTAAAAAATTCTACTAGGGGCCCTCCATCAATCATTTAGCAATATGTTTGTAAAATTTAAAGCTTTTATCTCAAATTTTACTCATGTTATTTATGTTCTTGTGACCGCATGTTTTTTGCTTTTTTTTGCTGACTCAGCATTTTTTTTATACAAATAATTAAAAAAATGATGTTTTTTAACTACTATCGAAAAATGTTTATCATTTTAAGAAAAATATCATATTTTGAAAAATAAAAAATGTAGGGTAGTACCACCTTAAGACATATAACATCAGAGCTGTGGCTAGGCTACCCCACACGCCCCAAATAAAAGGGATAGGGGGGAAGCAAATTTAGGTAATACCTAGTGGAAAATAATTTAAGTTTTGTGGCTCTAATAACAGGTTGTTTTTAATTTTTTATTTTTTTTGGAAAGGGAATAAGACGGGGAGAGAAGGCTCCGACCCACTAGCCACGGCACGGCATAACATAGTATAATTATCAATATTGTTGGAAACAAGAAAAGGAACCAAATAGAAATAAAGAACAAAAAATTTGCATAACAACATTTTTTGTTCTCTGTTTCTATTTGTTTCTTAATTATAGTTAGTATATATACTAAAACGAATAATGCATAACACCATAACACCAACACCATAACACCAACATAACACCAAATTTGTTTTATACTTGGACGACAATAATGATCAATAACTGTGGATTATTATTTGTACTGTCATTATATTTATGTTGTAAAAAAGTAACTTGTAACGTTAAACAAAGTTATTTCAAATGTAAACTAATTTTTGACTAAATGCTAATTAATGAACCAGTTAACATAGTTTCTTTACTCACGTAGACTAAACTAAAAAATTTGAAAACAACAGAAATTAAACAGTAACTGATATCGAAAGTCCTCTGAGAAAATCATTTAATTGGCTTTTTAAGTCTAGCAAATAGTAAGAGCCTCCACAGTGAATATTAACACAACGTACATCTTTCAAATTTATAAGAAATGTTACTTTCAAACAAACGTGTGGTTTGAGTTGTTTTCAAAGCTTATTTAAACTTTTGCTAAAATGTAAATTTTCAGACATTAATTTGTTTACTGTTAATGACTCTTTTTTTATTAACAGAAAATAAATTTCAATTCAATCACAACAATTCGTCATAAAAGGTTGTCAATAATTTTTTAAACAAAAGTAATTAAAAATTAAAAAAAATGAAAATAAAACACTAACCGATGTTAAATTTTGACTTATTATTAAAGTTTAAATTTTCTAATCTTGAACGTAAAAATTTAAGGATAAAACTTCAAGTATTCGATACATAATAAGACTTTTGGATAATAAGACTTTTGTCTTCTGCCTACTTCCCTTGCATCTTAACTAAAAAAGTATTTTAAATAATTTATTATGAAGATAACGAAACATATCTCTGGCTAATCCAATACTTTTGCACTCAAATAGAGAGCAAGGAAAACACAGAAGTGAACTTATTGCAATAAGTTCACAAATTAGTAGTGCCTAACAATATTGTTAGGCACTACTAATTTGTCCTTTCATTAGTAAGGAGAAAATTCCTCATTACAGTTTCTCTCATCATAATTTACGACTTGAATTTTAGCAATACCATCATCTCAAAAAAGATTGATATATTAAATAGATGTTTATCAAACATTTATCAACATTAATGTTTAGGAAATAAAATAAGCTATTTTATTTGTTATAGAGTATAGACACTAGAAAAAAACACATATGTTTATTTTTATTATTTTCAAATATATGGATGCTCTTTAATAAATTTTTCTTCGTCTTTTGGCGCCCTTTACATCTTAGCGCCCGGGGTACGTCCCAGCTAGCACATAGACGTTGGTCCAACGTCGGATTGACGTCGAAAAATTCGTTGGCCGATGGTCGGCAACCGACGTCGAGCCAACGTGGATTTAATAGTCGGCGCGACGTCGCAACCAATCGTTGGGCTAACGTTGGCCCGACGTCGAATTCCGACGTTGGGCGAGCGTCGCATTCTGACGTTGGTCCGACGTAATAGTTAAATAATAAGAGTTTTGATTTGTTTTCAAAAAGTTTGTTTTTGATTCAAAAGGTGTGCTTATCTTTTGAATCAAAAACAAGGTTTTTGCAAACAACTTAAAACTATTTCTTTGACTAAAGTGCAACGTAAGTAAAGTGCATTTTTTTAAAAAAGGCGAAGCTAATTCTTAAAATAAAGACCAACCATTTCTATAAACAATGTCCAACCATTTTTTGTATATAACGTGCAACCATTTCTTTAAATAGTGCAACTATTTTAAAAAGTGCAACTATTTCTTTGTAATGTTCATTAAAATGCAATGTCCAAGTAAGTTTAAATAAAATTTGATCATAAATCAACTTTAATTTAACAATTACATCGAGAAAATCAAAACTTGTGGTAATAACTATTATAATTATGTTAAAATATTCGTACAAAATATATTCAAACATATTAATGTTCATCTCAACTGCTAAGCATCCTTACAAATCTTGAATCTTCACTTCGCTTGAGAGCAACTATAACGTTCGAATGCTCCTCTTCATACAATTTGATAGAAATCTTTGAACTTGCATCTTTGGTTTGACGACCTTTAGACATTGCCATAACTGCTGGACTGCTGGTAAAACTATAAGAACTATAACTCAGACATTTGTGTATGTTATAACTCAGACATTTGTGTGAGTGTGAGTATATATATATATATATATATATATATATATATATATATATATATATATATATATATATATATATATATATATATATATATATATATATATATATATATATATATATATATATATATATATATATATATATATATATATATATGTATATAGTTGCGGTAAATGGCGCTCATTTCAAAAAATTGCTAAATGAAGAGTTTGGATGGAAGAAGGAAAGTTTATCTGCAGTGTATAAGGTGAGTGGATTAGCAGAGCAGATAACATGTAGTGAATTGAAATTAGCTATTCAGAAGGCTCAGTTAGGCTCTGCTGGTCCTTCTGGAATTTTGGCAGAAATGTTGAAAGCTTTAGGGGATATTGGTGTTCAGTGGGTACCAGACCGTTGCAATGCAATTGTATAAGAAAGTAAAATGTCAAATGATGGGAAGAAAAGTTGCACAAATATTCCATTATATATATATATATATATATATATATATATATATATATATATATATATATATATATATATATATATATATATATATATATATATATATATATATATATATATATATATATATATATATATATATATATTTAAATATATTGAAAGTAAAAATATTTTCAATAAATAATTTGTATCAAAATAAAAATCAACAAACATATGTACTATATATTCAAATAAAATGCGCATAAATGAAAATATAATAAAATAATTTTTTCGATATATTACCTACATAATTATGGCAACAAAACATTATTTAAAAAATAATCAGCACATTTGTTGATATTACATTCATTTTTTAATGTCACATCTAAAAAGAAAATTATTGAAAAATAGTATCAATATTTCACTCCAAAAATTCGCAATTCTATTATACAAATATTATAAAAATTCATATTACTATTAAAATGCCGCAAATGCATATAATTAAACATAAAAACATACAATAAAGATATACTATACAGAAACAAGAAGTAATATATTATATTATAATTTAGGACATTTTAACAGCGTACTATTTTAATGCAAAATAAAAACTATAAAACAGGAATGAGGTAAACACATTTACTCACAATATCTGTTATCTAAATAAATAAACTCACAATATCTGTTATCTAAATAAATAAACACATGTATTTACTAAATATATCTAATACATGTTGTATAACATAATATAACAACCACTTCTTCTCGTGATTCAATATGTTTATGTTTTACTTCTTTGCATAAATTAAATGACCCACAGGTAACTAAAAACGGAATTTGATAAAATTTTAACCAAATCGTTTTGGTAAATTTGTATAAAAATGTTTGATAATGATGCTTTAAGTTAAAGTTTAACGATGTAATTATTAACAAGATACAGACAACAGCTATTTAAGTAAATCCTGAAATTAAAGGATTCCGATGTTGGACAAACATCAAATTCTGACATTTGCCCAACATAATATTTTAATAATGAAAGTTTAAATTTGTTTGCAAAAACATTGTTTTTGATTCATAAGGTGAGTGCACATTTTGAACCAAAAACAAAGTTTTTGCAAACTAAAACTATTTCTTCAACTAAAATGCAACTACTTCTTCAACTAAAGTGCAACTATTTCTTTAAATAAAACGCAACTATTTCTTTGTAATGTCCATTAAAATGTCCAAATCAGTTTGAATAAAACTTAAGGCTGATAAACACAAGTAATACATTGATGCTAATTTATGAACCAACTTTAATTACACAGAAAACCAAAATTTGTTGTAATAATTATTATAACTACGTTAAAATATTCATACAAACTATACATATATTCAGATATATATATATATATATATATATATATATATATATATATATATATATATATATATATATATATATATATATATATATATATATATATATATATATATATAGATAGATAGATAATAATGTTCTTTACTGCTTCCCTACAAATCTCGCATCTTTAAATTGTTTGAGAGCAACTAAAATGTTCAAATTACACAATTTGATAGAAATCTTTGAACTTGTATCTTTGATTTGATGAGCTTTAGGGATTGCCATAACTACTGTTGAAATTATAAGTATAATTGTGAGAGTGTATATATACAGAGTGTATATATAAATATATATATATATATATATATATATATATATATATATATATATATATATATATATATATATATATATATATATATATATATATGAACATGAATAAGACAACAGTTATGCACTGTAAAGTCAAGAATGAGCAAGTAGAAAATACTGGGAAGTGGGGATGTGGAGTGTGTAGGAAGAGAGTTGGAACAAATTCCATTATTTGTACAGTTTGTAAGCAATGGGTTCATAAGAGATGTAGCGGTATACAAGGTTCGTTCAAGATTGTTGGTTTTGAGTGTAGAAAATGTACTGTTGGTTAGCATAGAGAAGTTAGAAAAGAGGTTGAAATAATAAATGGAGGAGCAATAGAGTGTGTTAGTAAATTTTGTTATCTTGGAGATACAATAAGATCAGCTGGTGGAGCAGAAGAAGCATCTAGGGTAAGAGTAAGGTCTGCTTAGGCCAAGTTCAGAGAATTATCTCCACTTTTAACAGCAAGAGATGCTTCATTAAAGATTAAGGGAAAGTTATACAGCATATACATACAGAGTGTTATGATGTATGACAGTAAAACATGGGCAATGAAAGAGTGTGTTTGAGATGAAAAAGCTACATTTAAGGTACGAAGATGTAAGAAGATATTCAAGACCATGTATGTTGGAGAAATGGCATTATGAGAAACATGAAACCCGTGCAAGCACAGAAACAAGGACGCTAAAACAATGATGATGATGATGATGATGATGATGATATATGAATACCTAAATATATTCATACTAAAAATATATTTATTGAATATATTTTTAATTAAAAACATATTTAAAATATGTACAACATAAAAATAAAATCAACATAAATAAATACATAATACAATAACTTTTATGTTGCATAAATATGGCAGCAAAATGTACATTTCAAAATCAGTGCATTTGTTGATATTGCATTCATTTTTTAAGTCATCTTAACAGAAAATTATTGAATAACAGTATCACTCAAAAATTAGAAATTAAAAGCTTTAAAAATTCCAATTACCATTAACGCCACAAATGCATATAATTAATACACTCCCATTTAATTGTTGCTTTCTCCATCTTTAACAACAATCAAACAAATTAAAAAACAAATGCTTCACTGGACATAACTGGAAAAAACAACAATTTAAACAAAAGTTTCATTCAGTAAATAATTATGTGTCAGGAAATAACACATTTATTTTCCCCTATGCCTTAGTAAACCCTGGAAACTTCATCCAGGCATTGTAAGAAATCTGTAATTGTTTAACTTTAAAATATTCCTAAATTATATATATATATATATATATATATATATATATATATATATATATATATATATATATATATATATATATATATATATATATATATATTCAACTAATAATTTTGAAGTAAAAATAAACACAAAAATGGAAACTAAGTATTCTATACCTATTGTTCTCAAACAAACGATTAATGTGATTTCTTTTCAGAACCACTTTTTTTGCATAATTTAATCTTATTTAATTCTTTTAATAAGACTTCTTCTTGTGATTCAACCTTTCTAATTTTTCCATTAAAAACCACTTTTTCTTGTGATTTAACCTTTCTAATTTCTGTAACAACCTTTTTTCTTCTTTAACAACCTTTTTTTTCTTTAACAGTCTTCTTTTCGTTTTTCAGCCTTTCTGAGTTTTATAATAATCACTTCTTTTCCTGATTTAACTTGTTTGTTTTAAAATAATACCTTAACAGAGACCTTGCATAGCTTAAAAAAAAAAAGAAAAAAAAAAGGAATTTTATACAAATTTAACCAAACTTATTCATTAATTTTTTATGAAAAAGTTTGAAAATGATAATTAAACAATATTAGCACTAACTATATTATTAAGTTAACAATGTATGTAGTACACACAGTATAAATAAAAATATACGACACATTATGTAGTACACTGTACGATAAGATCTGAATTAATATAGACAACTACTCAGTATCATACATTTAGTAAAATTTAAATGATTTACATATTGTGTATAAGTGTATAATCTAAAGTTAAGACCTAACTTGAGAGTTAAGATTTAAGTCTTAGCTTCCAAGACTTGGGAGATACACATTGTGCGATAAGACTTGAGAATTTAGTCTTAACTTGGGCCAAGTTAAGGCTAAATTCTCAAGTCTTATACACACAATGTATGTAGTATATCTATACATTCTGTATCATACAGTGTATACACTGTAAAATACAGAATGTATACATATACTAAATACATTGTGTGTATAAGACTTGAGAATTTAGCCTGTACATTGTACATCATACATCATATCATTGTACAGTGTACATGTACACTGTATGATACATAAAAATTATGTATGATGCTTGTAGTTGTTAGAAAATTAAGTCTTAAGTAAGTAATAAATATGTAGTTGTGTCTATCATACAGTCTTAAGTGAAGTTCAACTCAAATTAAAGTTGAGACTTAACTTAGTAAAACCATTTTTTAACGAAAGATTTAAAAATGCATGTTTAAAGATATACAAGTTACAGCATGTTTGTATTTTTTTTTATTATGATCTGATATTCAATTCAAAATTAATCACAATTATTATAAAATCAATAATTTTCGAATTCAAAGCCATATAAAGCAATTCTCTAATAAGAAGTTACAATAGCTATATAACAACCCTTCAACAGCTTTAAATATGGCCGAAAACTATAATAACGCTAAAACCAGTAACACACTGAACGCATTTAAAAATCTAAATTATGTGTAGTATTCCGACGTTGGCCCAGCGCACAGTGGGCCAGTAGGTGGACAAAACTAAAAAAATTTATGTCTGAAAACTGAAATTCTTTTTAAAAAGTTTTTACTTAGATACATTGAGGACCTTAAAAATAATTACAATAAATTAAAAAAATATATATTCTCAACAAAAACTCATTTCAAGTAAAATATTTGCAAAAAAAAAATGGCGATAAAGTGAGAAAATGTAGTTTTTAAAAAAGCAAAAGTGTGTAATAAATTTTTAGTATATTGGTTAACTGTTTTTATTAACATATCAAATAATTGTTAATATATAAAATTTATAAAAAAAAAAAAGTTAAAAAAAAATTTTAAACCAGTTTTAGATATATTTTTTGGTAAAAATTGGACTTTTTTTTTAATTTTTTTTGAAAAGACAACAAGGAAAAATTTGTGCTCTATTTTGCCTTTATCTCTTATACATATTTTGAAGGCTATATGTATATGTTTTTATAAAATTATTAATTTAGCTGCTAGTATCTGCTACTTTTTTTAATACTTATAATACTTTTTAATATTTATACTTTATAAAATCAAAGATGTTTCTTTTTCAAGTTTCTTTTGTCGCAAAATAACAAGTATTTATATATATATATATATATATATATATATATATATATATATATATATATATATATATATATATATATATATATATATATATATATATATATGTTAATACAACTTTTTAATGTTTATATTATTTTAGTCTAATAATATTATTATTAGTAATATGTCAACCATCACAAGATATCAAATTCATCAATTCATAAGACAGCATGGTTTATCTATGTCTAATGAAAAAGACAAACTTTATGTTAACAATTTTATTCGTGAATACTGTTCTGAATTTGATGCTCAGTTTGTAACCTTTTTGTCCAAGTATCGTAAACGTTGGTCTTTAAGTAAAAGAATTGATGAAAACTTTATGAAACATAATTCAGTATGGCTTCAAAAAGACTTTATTAGGTCATTTAAAAATCAGGATAATAAAACTGAATCTATAGTTAGTGGTCGACCTGTAAAATTATTTGATGATTCATCAAATAAGACAAAGAGTCGTAAAGTAGCAGCTATGGACTTATTAACTTGTTCATCAAATGAACTGTTGTATGCTAGTAGTTGTAATCTTTTTAAAGATAGCAAAAGAAAGGATGCAAAAGTAGTTTGAAGTTTATCTATTAAGCAACCTTTTGATACAGAACATACTCAAAACACTCTAAATGAAGCTCTAGCACTCATATTAGATATTGATATGAGCAAATCTGATTACCAACGCTTGAGAAATAATGCTTTGAGCAAAGGTTGTAATCTCTATCCTGCTTACAATGATGTTCGTGCTGCTAAAGAACAGTGTCTTCCTGAAAAAACATTATGGACTGTAAATGATTTTTCAGCAGAAATAAACTTTCAAGTATTAGTCGATCATACAGCAATACGCCTAATACAGTTGCAGAAACAAGTTATTGATTCAATGAATGATCTTGAAAGGTTGACTTTATATTCTAAAGTTGGGTTTGATGGATCAACTAGCCAAAGGATTTATAATCAAGTAACAGTTGAGAAAGAAAACAGAGATCTTTTAGAAGAAGCTAGTTTGTTTATTTCTTGTTTTGTTCTACTTCAGTTGTTTGGATTCATTAATGATAAAAAAATAATAATTTGGTCTAATCCACATCCATCTTCAACTTTATATTGCAGACCAATAAGATTTTCATTTAAAAAAGAAACCATTGAAGTTTTGAAACAAGAGAATCAGTTTATTAACAATTCAATTGCAAATTTGTCTTTAACATTTTGTGAAAACTTAACAATACTTCATAAAATTGAAATAACAATGGTGGACGGCAAAGTTGCTACAGCATTATCTACAGCAACTACATCTTCTCAGTGTTGTTCTGTTTGTGGATGCAGCCCAAAAAAAATGAATGATCTTAATGCAGCTAAAAATATGCCATTGACAGAGATAGGTCTCTGCTTCGGTCTTTCAACTCTCCATGCTTGGATTAAAAGCATGGAATGTCTTCTTAAAATTAGTTATAAATTGACAGTGAAAAAGTGGGCTACAAAAACTATATCTGAAAAGAAAATTATTCAAGAACGAAAACAGAAAATCCAGATAAAGTTTCGTGATAAAGTTGGACTGATAATTGATATGCCAACATCTGGTGGCTCTGGGTCTTCAAATAATGGAAACACTGCTAGAAAATTTTTTCAGAATGCAGAGAAGTCTGCTCAAATTCTTGAACTTGATGTCAGTATGATAAAGATGTTGCATGTGATTTTGTGTACATTGTCATCTAACTTTCTAATTGATTCTTCACTATTTAGAGAATACTGCTACAAAACAGCTGAGAAGTATGTAATCCTTTATCCATGGTATCATATGCCACAGAGTCTGCATCACATTTTTATTCATGGTTGGCAAGTTGTAGAGAGAATGGCTTTGCCTATTGGCATGCTCAGCGAAGAGGCACAAGAAGCTCAAAATAAAAATTTTAAGAAATTTCGAGAATCATTTTCTAGAAAGTGTTCGCGTTCCAAAACAAACGAAGATTTATTAAGGCGACTAATGTGTTCTTCTGACCCTTTGATAAGTAGTTTGAGAAAACCCCATCATCCTAAGAAAAACGCTCTTCCAAATGGAGTTTTTGATCTTCTTAAAGAGGTTCCAATTTTTGAATAAGTGTCAATGACATAGTTTTGATTTTCGTTGGTGTTTAAGATGGTGTTTACTTTATAAGTATTTAATATTTACATAATAAAATAATGAATATAAAAGTTTGTTTTCTTATATATTCGTTATAAAATATATAAAAATTCGTTATATAAATTTTTGTATCTCTAATTGCATAAAAACTTGCTTATTTTTATATGGTTGCTAAAGGTATCTAAACTACACAGTTAAAATTTAATTAACTGTTCCTGTAAACCTTTATAGTTAAGAGTGTTTTAAAAGTTTTTATTTCATTTTTTAAAGAAATTTTGAATTAAGAAAAAGTTTCAAAAAAAATTACCAACTGGTTTCTAAGAGCATATAACAGCATAGTAACACCAAAAATTGATAATTTTTTGTTTGTGTTATCATTCAAATACATAAAATAGCAATGTAGCATTAATATCAGTTTAGTTTATAACTTTGATATTTTGAGAAAGTCTTTTTATTTAGGTAACTATGCAAAATGCCTGTTGACATGAAATATAGGTATCCATGGCAACCAAATAAACAATCTAATGGTGCCATTAGATTTGTTATATGAAATATACTCAAGCTGCTAATTATGGGAAAAGCCTGATAAATATTTTAAAAGTTATTAATTTTGTCCAGCTAATAATGATTTTGGCCCACTGTGCAGCGTTGCACAGTGGGCCAGAATCCCATATTTTTGGAAAAAAGTTATAACTTTTTTTCCTTTCATCCATATGCCCCGAAAATTGGTATATAAATTAATAGGATGATTGTAATTTAAATGAGCATTGTTTTTTTGGTGTGGTTGCCAAGGCAACCCCATTTGCATAGCAACACATATTTATGCTTAGTTCCTAAGAGTTATTTTTAGCCAAATGTTTCAAGTATTGGTATGCAAATTAATTTGATGATTCTAATAGCATAACTAATTGTTTTAATTTACAGTCACACTTTCATATAGGTACAGACATTTCCAAAATTATAAAGATACAAAAGATACATTTATAAACTAATATCATCTGTGGATGACCTCAATAAGTCAATAACTCCAGCTGGTAAGTTTTTTGTTTTGGTGTGACTTCCTGCTATCTTTCTCAGAGATGCAATAAATGGATCAGATATACACAGAAGTCGATTTAACAAATCTTGATTAGTTTTCACACGAGATGATTTTCTTGCAAAATGTTTACGATAGTTTATTACGTCCTTCTTGAGCTTCTTCAGATTACATACCAATGGGTAATGCTAAACTTTTGATAATTTCAGAACCATTTTTGCGTTTCAGAACCTTTATTGCGTCCTTCTTGAGCTTCTTCAGAATACATACCAATGGGTAATGCTAAACTTTTGATAATTTCAGAACCATGGATTAAAATTTTGTGGGGAGATTGTGGCATATAGTACCAAGGATAATGATGAACATAAAGTCGAGCTGTTTTTAAACAGAAAACCTCAAATTTATCAGTGTCAATTTCTAAACCACATGAAATTGTTGCCAATATAATATGCAAATTTAGAATCAGTTCAACATCAATATTTAAATTTCTGCAAACTTTTCCGCATTTTGAAATGTTCTTCGAGCCGTATTTCCATCATTTGATGTTCCACTACCACCAGATTTCGGAACATCAACTATCAAGCCCATTTCATCTTTAAATCTATTTTGAATTTGTTGTTTTCAGAGCCTTTACTTTAGATTTATCTTCTGCTGTTCATGCCTGCCACTTTTTCAAAGTTATTTTGTATCCAATATGTAATAAACATTCAAAAAATTGTATTCAAGCATGTAAAGATAATAAACCAAATGAATAAATACCTGCCATACCATTTTTCAAAACCATTTTTTCAATATCATTTATTGCTTTAGTACTTGCCCCACATATAGTACAGCATTGACCTGAATTTTTAACATCTGAAAGAGCAGTATGAACTTTTCCATCAATCATAGTAATTTGTATTATATGATGTATTTTGATTTTTTTATTATTTATATCCACTTCAGTATCTTGCAAGTTTGAAATCTCAACCCTAATGAGATCCAATTCTGATTTAGAAAATGCTGCCGTTTCGTTTTCAAATTTAATTTAAAACGCAGAGGTCTACAGTACATTGTTGGTGATGGTCGTGGTGTTGGTGATGGATTTCGCCAAGCTGGGTACCGTTTTCCATTTGAAAAACCACATAAGTCTACTTGTTTTCTTACTGTTCCTTGCAATATTTGTTTATATATAGACTGTCCTGTGGCACCATCAAAGTCTATTTTGTATCTCAGAGAAAGTCTATCTGGAGTGCCTTCAGT